GCTGAAGAATCTTACCACCAGCAAAGCAGCAGCAAGGAAATATAATACATCCTTTGGTGCCAGAGTCTTACACCAGCTAGATCAGGGCCTATGGGAGCAGCAGCCATAGCAGCCAGCCGCAGAAAAACAGAGACCTGACATGAGACAGCCTCAACTTTGAAAACTGTTATACCACTGAACTGGAACAAAGAGCTTTTTACCCTATATGTCTGGAGTGAGGAAAGCAGGAGCGTAAGTGAGAGCCATAGCTGGCAGAATTAAGGGTCCAAACCCACAAGACTGAAAGCTAAGGTGCCTGTCCTGACTGACTGTGTTCTGCTAAACTGAATTATAGCTTTTGACTTTCCCAATGTGGCTCTATGCACTCTGTGAGATACTGCAATGGATTCTAGACCCAAGAGAGCTCTGACAGCCAGCCTATTGGCAAGCAGCTGCACTGCAAACCTACCTAAAGGCAAGGGGTTCGAGGCCACCAGCTGCTCCACAGGAGAAGGATGGGCAATTTCCTCCCATGCAATTAACTACCTCTGAAACCCTGCTGGAAGGTCAATTATGGGTTGGTTTCCACTCAATGAAACACAACAACAACCAAAACAAGGGATCTTTGGTGGCATACTCTGTAGGAGTAGAATGAGTAACCCAAAAGCAGCACCACTCTGGTTGTTCAATCACACTAATGACTCCAATAAAGTGAGATGAGTAAAAATCCCATGATTTTACAGCCTCCAAAATCCGCTAGATGATCATCTATGATTCACTTCCAAGTCAAGAATAACGAGTTTAGGGGGTTTTTCTTAACATACAGATGCTGCCTGAACACACTGACCAGTTCATTGACAAGAAATTTGGAAGACAGCTGTCTGATCAACTTAACTGGAAGAGATCACTATTTGTTCCCCTTCCCCAAAAAACAAATACAACACTTTGGAAATTATTGAACAATATCATATGTAAGAAAAATCTTGGTAAAAGTTATAATTAAAAAAAAAAGACTAGAAGAGTACAATGATACAGAACTACCATAAATTCAAGCTGTATTTAGAAGAGGCTGTAGAACCAGGGATATTACCGCTCATGTTTGACGGATCTTGGTGAAACGCAAAGAATATCAGAAAGATGTCTGTGTTTTATTGACTGGGAAATTAGACTTTGTGGATTATAAGAAATTATGGCTAATGTTGAGAAGAATGGAAATCCTAAAGCATTCAATTGTGCTCATACAAAACCCATACTAAGACCAAGAAGATAATGTCTAAACGGAACAAGAAAACACTGCATAGTTTAAAATCAAGTAAGGTGTAAGGGCAGCAGACTCTCAAAATCAAGTAAGGTATAAGGGCAGCAGACTCTCTCCATAACTATTCAATATATATGCCAAGCAAATCACTAGTAGTGTCGGACTTTATGAAGAAGTCAGTGGAATAAGAAAAGGAAGGAGACTCAAAAACATGTGTTATGCCAATGACACAATCCTGAGTTCTGAGAGTGGTGAGACTTGCTGCAGAAGATCAAAGATTACAGCCTTCTATATGGATTACATTTCAATATCAAGAAAACAAAAATGCTCAACAATGGGCAGGAAAGCAACATCATGATAGATGGAAAGAAGATTGGAGATGTTAATGTTTTCTTCTTACTTGGAACCACAATCAACATCTTTGGTAATTAACAGTCAAGAAATCAGATGTGATGTCAGTTTAAGCACACAGGTGCACCTGACTTGTCTTCACAGTTACTTGCTATATATCTGAAAGTCAGACAAGAATTAACAAATAGGTCTCAAAGGAAGTGCAACCAGAGTGTCCCACGGAGGCAGAGATGATGAAAAGTAGTCTCATTTACTTTGAGCATAATCTCAGAAGGAACCAACCCTTCGAGAAAGAAAGCATGCTGGGAAAGGTGGAAGCCTGTATACAGAGAGGAAAACCCTCAACAAGATGGACTGATACAGTGGCTGCCACAGAGGGCTTAAACATGACATTGATCATGAGGATGAGGATGGTACAGGAGAGAGGAAGTTTCAGATCTGCTGTTCTTGATGCTGCTATAAGTTGTAGCTGGCTCGAGGTACCTAATAACAACTGATCTACTTTGTCCAAAGTGTATTTGTATAAAAAAGTTTGTTGCATGCACATATTCTGATGTATAAACCAAGCAATTTGTTCTTTCCAAACTAGAATGTAACAACTATCATTTCAAAACTAAGACTAAAAAAAAATTTAAAAAAAAAAACTAAGACTACACTTGTATTCATTTTTTCACTTAACACATAATAAACATAACAAGATACCGTTCTTATTTTTTATACATATAATTTTATTCAATCTCAGCAACCATACTGTTTTCCATACAGTAGAGTTAATTAGATATAGTTAATGAAAAGTTAATTAACCTAAGAATTCAGTCAGTAAGGGGTAAAGCCCAAATCCAGAATCATAGGTAGACAACACCACATCCAAAATTCATCATCTCAGCAATATTCCTTTCTTTTATCTACGGAGGTATCATGGCCTAACCCATAGGGAAATATAATAACCTACAAATAGATAGTTTTAATCTACCATCAGCTCCACAGGGTAAAAACATGTACTCTCCTACCAGGTGAATTTCAGCCTCTGAAAACCCACTGTAAGATCCTACATAGCTCTGATTCAAAAGCAATGAGTTTTAAATTTATAACAAGGGGTGCATTGCTAACCTAAAGGATGCACCTCTTCCGAGTCAAATATGACAACAGCTCCACTAAATAAAGATGAGCCCTCACCTTTCCTCCAGCTTATAGCTTCAGAAGCTATGGCACAAGGTGAGCAAACAGTAGAGCCACAGCACCCAAACAACACACAAGTGAGTCAGTCCCAGGGCCTGGAGGACCATCATTGCTTGGGAACACAGAATATGGAGCCTGAGCCATATTAGGGGATACTTAGTGGCTTCACAGTGTGGGGATTAACAGGATGGAAGGAAAATGTGTGGAAGAGCAATGATGAATTGCCAAAATTATCAGTTTTTATATTGGGAAATGTCATTGCATGTTACTGTTCTAAATATGTGTATGTTTGTTAGTCTATCATTTGCTCTGTTGGGTAGAGTGCTTGTCTGTCAGATGCTAAAACAGAAATACTAAAGAAGAAGTAGGAAGAAGGAAGGGTGATGCATTTCCGAAATAAAAGGCCTTGGAAACCTCTATGAACCTTAGAGCACATACAGATTCTAAAATTAAGCACTAAAAAGCACTGAAACTAAACAGAACTGGAGGCTAAGTCTTCATTCATAATGGAGAAACATAAAAATGAGAAATGGCTGCAAGCAGCCACTAACATGGAGAACATGGAATGTACAAAATATGTAGAAAAATGACACTGTTAAAAAATGGAAAACATAAAAAGTTGACGAGTGGATAGGGATTAGCATGGGCTGCCTTAAATCAGACAATCTATTAGGCTAGAAATCAAAAAGTAAGGAAAAGCAGAGTTGCATTCATACTCAAAAAGACCATTTCTAGACATACCCTGAAGTACAGTGTTGAGTGACAGGATACTATCCATATGCATAGAAGGAAGACATGTCAATACCATTATCATTCAAATAGAAGCACCAACAATAAAAGTAAAAAGAGGAAATAGAAGATTTCTACCAACTTCTGCAGTTTGAACTCGATCTAACAAACAATAAGATTCATTCATAATAACTGGTGACTGGAATACCAAAGTTAATAACAAGAAAGAAGGATCTGTAGTCAGATAATATGGACTTGGTGACAACAATGAGTCTGAAGAAAGGATGACAGAATTTTGTAAAATGATTTTTTCACCGCAAACACCAATAGTGACTAAGTAAACATGCCTCACGTGATGGACTACAAAAGAAAATGGAAGAAATACGCAGAGTTATTGTACCAAAAAGCATTATTAGCAGACAAAGAACATAATTTTCACAAAGCAGAATACGAACCCACAACAATAAAAGTTCAAGTTTGTCTAAAAGAACTGGCAAAAATTAAGGCCCCAAGAACTGATCAAATACTAAGAGATTACAACAAATTTTTGAAGACCTAGAAGTGCTCACCAGGTATTGGCAAGAAATTTGGAGGACAACTGACCTAGCCAACTGACTGGAAGATATCCATTTTTATTCCCATTCTCCCCGCCCCCCCCCCAAAAAGGTCCTAGAGAATGTTTAAATTATTGAACAATATCACTAAGACCATATACAAGCAGAATCTTCCTGAAGATTATGCAAAACCAACTGAAACAGTACACTGATAGAAATACAGCATGGGTTTAGAAGAGGCTATGGAAAATCATAAGACAATTAACACTGGTAAAATCTGCTATCAGGGACCTCTCCAGAGTGCTCAAGAGCAATGATGTCAGTCTGGAAACTAAGGTTCACCTGATCCAAGCCATGGTCGTCACAATTACTTGCTATGCATCAGAGACCTGGACAATAACTAAAGATAATAGAATTGACGCCTTTAAGTTGTGGTGCAGGAGGAGAGAACTGAACATACCATGGACTGCCAAGAGAACAAACAGGGGGTTTCCTAAAGAGAGTGAAAGTAAGCTACTCCTCAGAGGGATGGATTATTAAGCTCCATCTCACATACTTTGGGCATGTTGCCAGGAGGGACCAGTGCTTGGAGAACATCATGCCTGGAATGGTCGAGGGACAGTGCAGGAGATCCTGGATAAGATGAACTGACACGGTGACCGGAGTAATGAGGTTAGGTGTGTCAAAAGTAGTGAGATTGGGTGAGTATAGGGTGAGGTTCAGAGCTGTTGTACTTAAGGTTGCTAGGAGTCGCAAGCATTTCGACAGCATATAACACTACCACCACAAGAGGATGAAGGACAAGAAGTATAAATTTTAAGTGCTTAATTTTGAACTACAGGAGTGGGAAAGGGAGGTAAAAGAAAAGGAATGGAAATATTTCTTAATGGTAAAAAATAGGAATCCGTATACAACCAGTTATCAAGCACTATATGACATTTAAAACTTACCTTTTCTGTAGTAACAGTCAAGGATGGAACTAATGCAGGTGATGGTTCAGGTTGTTTCTTGTGTTTTTGTTTATGTTTGTCTTTTTCTTTATATTTCTAAAAATAAATAGAAGCATAATTTGATTTAAATGTAAACTATACTATATGTACAAAGTACATGTATGACAGTATTCAGTAATTCTGGAAAGTTAACACATTTTGAGCAAATGAACCTGAAAAATAATTCTTATGGATAACAGGCAAATACTAATATAAATTATTTAATTTCAAATTCTCTAATTTCAAGCATTTCAAGTCTTCCTCACTTACAACAAACAAGGCTGAGTCATCTGTATAGCACAGGTTACTGATTAATCTTCCTCTAATCCTCATCCTATATTCTTCTTAATATAATCCACCTTCACAATTTTTTGCTCATTATACAGACTGAATAAATATGGCGAAAGAATACATCCTAGACGTACACTATTCCTGATTTTAAAGACGCAGTTTCCTTGCTCTGCTCACACTACAGATTCTTGACCTACGTATAGATTTCTCATGAGCACAATTAAGTGTTCTGGTATTCTTATTATTTTATTTTAGACATAAGTGTTTGTGATCCACCCATTCAAATGCAAATAGACATTCTCTGCTTTCAGCCAAAGAATACCAAAAGAACGTCTATTAAAAGTGATGGACACTATATTATACATTAGCTTCTTTGGTACATAAATTAGAGATAAAGGAACAGAAAACCTAGTAACAATTCCAAAGCAAATCCATAAAATGGGCTAACTGGCTATCTGTAACAATAAAATTTAGCCAAAGAACAGAGACCCCATCACACACACACACACAAAACACCCAACCCAAAATGAGCAAGTAAGTCCTAAAAAGAAAAGAAATTACTAAAAATGAAAAACATAAATCAATATATCTCATTATGATAGATGTAAAATTCCTTAACAAAATCTGGACAATAGAATCCTACAGTATATTTTAAAAAAAATAATTCATCATGACCATGCTGGGTATGCAAAAATGGCTCAACCTAAGAAAAATAATCAACATAATTCATCCTATTAACAAAGGGCAAAGAACAAGAACCAAATGTTTATATTAACTGATGTAGAAATGGCCTTTGACAAAAATCAACTACTCAGTCCTGATAAAAACACTCAACAATACAGGAATAGAAAGGAATTTCCTCAACAACTTCTTATTGTTGTTGTTGTTGTTATGTGCCATAGAGTTGAATGGAACTCATAGCAACCCTACAAGGTTCTGAAGCCTGTCCTCTCCTGACCCAGTTTCACTCACTGATTAACACACCTACTCCCCATTAAATCAGTCATTGTGTCAATCCATCTTATCCAGGATCTTCCTCTCCTGCACAGTCACTCCAGCCTGCCAAGCCTGATGTCCTTAACCAAGAACTGGTCCTGGCCTCGTGTCCACAGTATATGAGATAGAGCTTCAAAATGTTAGCTTCCAAGGAGCAATCTGGTTTCACCCTTTCCAAGACAGATCTGTTTGTTCTACTGACGGTTCAAGGTATGTTCAGTACTCTCCTCCAGCACCACAACTCAAAGGTATTGTTTCTTATTGTGTCATCCTTACTCATTATCCTCAATATAGTGAAAATCAAACATGCAGAATCAAGAGCTAACATCATTCACAATGGAGAAACACTAAAGCATACACCTTATAAATAGGGCCCAAAGATGCTAATTTTTAACACTCCTATTCAATACTACAATGGAAGTACATGCTAGTACAATAAGAGAAGAAAAGGAGAGGCAATGAAATTGGCAAAGATGAGGTAAAACAATTGTGATAAGCAAGTGATATGATAGTGTACACAGAGACTCCAAAAGATTCAACAATAACAACAAAAATGTTAGATCTAGTAGACAAATTTAGTATAACTGCAAGATACCAAATCAGTAATTAAAAGAAAAAAAAAAAAAAACCCACACACCCAAAACCAAAAAAACCACCAGTGACATTTCTGTACAGGAACACTGAAAAGGAGATTAAGATTACAAAACCATTTATAGTAGACAAAGTGAAAACCAAAGAGACACGCAAACACCTTTAAAAGGAAAACTGCAAAACACTACTCAAAGAACAATTAAGAAAGTAAATTGACTTTACTTTATTCTCAAGTACACATGATACATTATCTAGAATTGATCACATATTAGGACACAAAGCAATCCTCAACAAATTAAAAAGCATTGAAATAACACAAAGTATCTTTTAAGACCACTAAGCCATCATGCTTGGGAGGGCAGAGGGACAGAGAAAGAAAAGGAGATCATCAATGAGATGGATTGATAATTACTGTGGTAATGAGATTAGGCGTGTCAGAGACAAGTTGGTACAGGTTTTATGGCTATTGCACATAGGGTCACAGTGAGCTGCAAGTGACTAGACAGTACAAAACAACAACAATAAGAAACGAAATTAGAAATTAAGTATAGGAGGATAAAACTTATAAAACCATATATGTGGAAGCTAAATAACACCATGCTAGAATACTAATGGGTTATGGAAGAAAATAAAATTTAAAAGTTACTGGAAACAAATTATAATGAAAATACAACATCCCAAAATCTCTGGGATGAAGCTAAGGCAGTCCTCAGGGGCAATTCATAGCAACAGACAAACATTTAAAAAAAACCACACACTATAAATTAATGATCTAGCTCAACACCTCCATTAAATAGAAAAAGAAAAAAAAAATCTAAGCCCACAGCCTCTAAAAGAAAGTGTAAGAGCAAGAGTGAAATAAGATATAAAAGGGGGGGGAGCAATTCATCACACATTAACAAAATAATTAATAAGAATCACATGACCACCCAAAGGTAATAAAGGAGGTCAGAATTGCTTCCACTGTGGAAAGCTGGGCCACTTCAGTAGACAGTGTCACAGACGAGAGCCACA